GGATTAAGCCCGGTGTTGGGGTCCTTGCTCAATGGGGACTCTGCTTCTCCCCCACTTCCCGCTCATGCATTCTCTCTCTCTCTCTCTCTCTCTGTCCCACTCTCCCTCTCTCCCTCTCAAATAAATAAATAAAATCTTGAAAAAAAAAAAGAATTAAGGGTTCCAGAATCAGACAGAACTGGTCGTGAATTCCAGTTCCTCCACTAAATAACTCTGTGTCCTTTGGCATTTTAGTTTACTTAATCTGAGCCTCTCTTTACCAAGCTGGAAACTGGGAATAATAATAGTTCTTATTATTTTGATGTTTGGTGAAGATTAAATGAAATACTCTGTGGAAATTTCTCAACAGAGCTTGGCTTATAGGAGGTACTATAAACTGACTTGGAATGCCACCATTATTTTTTTAATATATTATAGATATTGTGTTATATTTCTTAATATGTTTTATATATAGAAACTTACTATTTCTAGTGATGAGATTCTTCTCTAATTTTGAACTTTCACAATGTTGGAGTAGTTTACATGATACCTGTTATAAATCTACTAATAAAAGTTATTTCCCATTATTAATCATTTTCTTCTCCCCTCTTCTAGCTGTTCTCACTCATTTTTCTGAATGAACTTGAAAATCACTTTAATCAGATTTCCAGATAAATTCCAAAATTTATTCTGGTTATACTCTATATTAGAATTTAACTAGATTGATTTCATGAATGTGAAATGTATATATTTACACTACTGAAGCACACCATTAGGAAATAGTCTTATCATGAGTCTTTCTTCCATACATCACTAATTTTTTATCATTTTCTTCAGCTAGGCTCTATATATGTATTATTAGATTTCTTAAATTTTATTGTGCTATGTACTCAATATCTGTGTCCCTTCAAAATTCGTATGTTGAATCTTTAATCCCCAGTGTTAAGATATTTGGGGTGGGGCCTGTGAGAAGTGACTGGGTCATGAGTAGGACACCTTCATAATGGGATTAAAGTCTTTATAGAGGAGGAAGAGAAATCAAAGCTCTCTCCCCACCATGTGAGGACACAGTGAAAAAAACAGCTATCTGCAGGGGCACCTAGGTGGTTGAGCATCTGACTCTTTGTTTCTGCTCAGGTCGTGATCTTGGGGTCGTGAGATTGAGCCCTAGGTTGGCTCTGTGCTCAGCGTGGAGTCTGCTTGAGACTCTCTCTCCATCTCCCTCTGCCCCTCAACTCCCCTTATGTACACATACTTGCTCTCTCTCTCTCTCAAATAAATAAATAAATCTTAAAACAAAAACCAAAGCCAAAAAACAGCTATTCTGCAAACCAGCTATCTGCCCTCATCAGACACCAAATCTGTCAGTACTTTGATCCTAGACTTTTCAGCTTCCGGGACTATGAGAATTAAAGGCCACTCAGTTCATGGTATTTGTTATGGTAGCCCAAACTGAGACATTGTGCTTAGGATTTTTAGTTGTTTCATGAAAATATACATCAAACACTTTGCATACAATGTAGTAGTAAGATAAGTATTATGCATGAAATCTCACATTTCAGTCTATTAATTCTTTAACTTCAAGTACTTCAATTAATCAATTACTTTTTTAAAGTAGTTGACAGGTCAACCTATTGAAGTAATAACATTTGTACTTAAACATCACCTGATTAAACACTGTCACCTCTCAGATTTTGAGAATGCACCTCTAAGGTAACTTTTATGTTTTTCACATATAAATTTAGATTTATACAAAGTAAATACCTAAAACGGTAAATACCTTTTACTTTGGAAAAAAAATTCTTCTTCCTAAATCCAGAAAGTTTGCAAAAGAAATAAGGTAAAACCACAAAATCTTATGTATTCCATCAAATCAAAGTATAAAATAGATTCCTATCTCCTTATAAAAATACTAGGCCAAACAGAAAGTTCCTAAGTGTGAGGGGTAGTTAGGAGAGAAAAGTGTCAGATTAACAGAATATATTTTTTTCTTTAGAGTCAGGAGTTAGCTCTAAAAGTGAATGTATGTAACAGTTAATTGTAATACTGACTTCAGGTATGCAAAAGTAATTATCTAAGAATATGTATTTTCTGGCAACACTTCAATGGTGGGGATCCATTTCATGGGATATATATCTCAACACTGTATCAATAGTAGTTTATAATCTTCCGGTTGACTTGGATCTGAATGGTAGCAGTATAAGCAAGACTACTGTCTTTACGATAGACTCTGAAAAACAAACTGAGGGTTCTAGAGGGGAGGGGGTGGGGGGATGGGTTAGCCTGGTGATTGGTATTAAAGAGGGCACATTCTGCGTGGAGCACTGGGCGTTATGCACAAACAATGAATCATGGAACACTACATCAAAAACTAATGATGTAATGTATGGTGATTAACATAACAATAAAAAAATAAAAAAAGACTACTGTCTTTATTCTTAAGTAAAAATAAAGCCTTGCATATCAAATAATTTTGAGAAATTGCTAGGAAAGAAGCTAGACTTTTTCTGTACTTGCTATAATGGCTCCAATATTAAAATAAACAAATACAAATCAAAGAGAATGAGGGGGTATGGCAATGTGGATCAGCATGGAAGCAGACAACGCAATGCTTGGAATATGATTTTTTAAAAAAAGATACCCAGGACTACAACATTTATTTCCCTGGCTCAGGATATCAATAAATTATAATGAAGAGGGATTCTTGTCAACACTAGAACCAAACAGTTGTGATACCTAAAAATTATTTTTCTTAATCACTATATATTAAGTGCTCAATATCGTGTATAAATAGAATTTATTTCATTGTGAAAATTGTCTTTCTAAACCTCCCATCTTTAAAAAAATTCTGAGTTAAAACAAAAAGTTCAAGTATTCTGAAAAGGAGGTCCATCGTGTAAAATAAGAAAATTCTCAAAAACCTCTTAATAGAATCAGTTGCATCTGAAATTCAACTTCAACTAGGCCAATTTCATTACAAAAAGTCAACATAATAATGTATTTCTTTAAAGGTCACACCATTTGGATGCTTAAAAGAGACACAGGTTGATTTTTTTTTTCCAAAAAGGGACTATTTTAACATTATTATAAAGTTAACTTTTTTTTAAAAAAAGTCTCACCCATAAGTTTCAGCGTCACACATTTTTATGAGAAAAATTGCTTGGTCATCATTATTCCTCCACATTTCCCCCCTCCTGTGGTATACAAAAGAAACTCACACTTCTAAGTGATTCTCGATTTTACTGACAGGTTATGGTCCACATTTTAAATAAAATACCAAAGTGGAAAGTTCTTAGAAGTGAAAATGAAAAGTGAAAAAGCCAAAAGGTGATCTCCTAGTGTAACATTTAAAATGAAATCTGTTTATTCGCAGACCTGCTCCTTCGTTTCCCTCCACAACCGCGAGTTATTAGAATTTTTCATGCGGCCGAGACCTTTTGCACTCGGCAGCTTTCTCCTTCTTTCACATTAACCTTTTCCCTGAGGCAGGACCATGCATGTTATCACAGCAAGCGTGCTAAAGGAAGCTCCACAGAGATTAATAAGGGAAGGGACTTTGCACTTCTTGTCAAACCAGCCAAGTGGTTCCTCTTTGCTGCTCACCAAAGAACAGCCAGGGTTTTCCCAGACAGGTCATAGAAAGGGCAGCACACCCACATTCAGCATCTCTGGGCAAATTGGACAAATATAAATGAATCCCTGTCTTCAGCTGCATTTTGTATTTAACAGTTACTAATAGCATGATCACTATCCCAAACCATGGGAAACAAATCAATAGCTTGTTTTCTTCTGCAGAGAAGAGATTTTTCAGTATTCACTGTTCTTGTTCTACTGTAACAACAACTGAATATGTAAGTAGAAGTCCAACAATAGCAAAACTGAATATATAGAAACTTACCAACAATAGCAAAACTGAATATATAAAAACTTACCAATAATAGCAAAACTGAATATATAGAAACTTACCAATAATAGCAAAACTGAATATATAGAAACTTACCAACAATAGCAAAACTGAATATATAGAAACTTAAAGAAAATGAAAAATTCTATAAACATGAATTAACATAGCATCTGAATAAAAACTACAAAATATGTTTGAGTAAGATGCTCTAAAATACTAGAATTAGTGCCTCCGGATAATTGAACCAGTAGTTCCTATGAACCAACAATGAACCCACTTAATTGTATGAAAATGTTGTTTGTGAAAGGTGATTGCCCTCATTCCACTAGTGAAATGCAGTATTCCTTCAGGACGTCAGATTGCAAGAGAAACTACAGAAACACACATGTCTTTACCCATGTCTTGCCTTGGTGAACAGTTTCCTTTTTCATATAACACCAGTAAGCAATGGAGCATTTTCCCGCTGCTGAGAGTCAATTTATCTCACTTTACAACCTCTTTAATGAGATGGATGTTCAAGATCACACAATTAGTACATGGTTTTTGCAGGATCCAAATCTAGGTCCTGCACTCCCCTAAGCTGGTGCTGTTTCCTGCACCCCAGAATCTAAGGCTACGAGCCCATGTTGTACTCCGTGGGCAGTCGGTACCAACTCACAGGGAAGGTAGTGTCCTATAAGCAAAAATCAAATCTACTCATGCAACCTAAAAGTCATCTCAAACATTTCCATATTGAATCCAGATTTAAGCTCATCATTTCCATCACAGCATTTTAAAGCTTCAGTCATGAGCTTCTTTGCAATTTTGCTTCCCTGAAAAATTAAAAGCTACATGACTGCATGTCACTTCCTTCTTTATAATCAGTAAAAACTAGTTTAGAATACTTTCCCTCCAGTTGGAATCTTAGCAATTTGATATTGTTTAATTAGAGGAATTTTGGTCTATGAACCCATCTCTATTGAAAAGTATATTTTAGTTTCCGATTTACATTAAAGGCGTATAAATGAAATCCACGAGGGCCAGGTATCTAGCCAAATCTCCCTGGGCTACCAGTCAGCCCCTGGTTTGAAGGTGTCCAGGGAACTGAAATTGGACAAAGGAGAAGAATAGCACTTACATTGCTGTTCATCGCTCTTGTCCCCACACTGATCTGTGAAGTCACACACATTGTCAGGAGGCAAGGACAACCCATTGCCACACTGAAAGGCTTTTGTTCCTTGCTGAACCCATGCAGAGATGAAAACGAAAGAAATCCAAAGGAAACAAAAAGCTTCATTCCTTGGGAATGCTAACATTTTGGCCAAGCAGAAGAGCACCACTTGATAGGTCGCTGGGAGATCAGGCAGTTGTAATAGGTGAATCCAAAATTAGAAACATCCTTTCTCTTTTCTCTACCCTTTCTTTTCCAGATTTGCCTCTTATGACTGGATACCCTTGGTAACTATCTGCAACCCTAACAAATGACTCCCAGAGCAGTTCATTTACTCTTTCAGAGGAGTGTCTTTAGAAAATATTTAACTTGAGCAATTGCACCTTTTCTGTATCTAGCTAAACATGGATATTTATTACCCTGTGTATACCATATTTAAACAATGTAAGCCTTTATGATCATGCTATCTCCTGAAAGAAAATTCTAAGAAACAAAGGGCAGGCACATAAATAGGGTGGGGGACCGGGGGAGGACCACAGTAAAGTTTTAAGTAACTGCAATGTTCTGTATTAATTCCTGTGCTTACTTAATCACATTCATGTAATTTAGAACATTATTGTGGTCGCTAAAACTTATTCAAATATTTCAGACCCAATTATTAGAATTTCTCTGTGAGTTCAAAATATGTATCCTTAGTTATTAAATAGATACCTCGTGTTGCTTGTTTGGATAAATTGAGTACCATAGGATTTTTAAAGACTTTATTTATTTATTTATTTCAGAGAGAAAGAGCACGAGCGGGGGTGGTGGTGGGGGGTAGGGGCAGAGGGAGAGGGATAAGCAGACTCCCTGCTGAGCAGGGAGCCTGACACAGGGCTCAGTCCCAGGACCCTGAGATCATGATCTGAGCCGAAGGCAGATGCTTAACTGACCAAGCCACCCAGGCGCCCAAGAACCATAGGATTTTAAAAGTTGAAGGGACACTGGAGGTCATTGTTTCACAAATCACATAACTTGGGCCCAAAGAAGTTAAGAGTATTTATGAGAAAATATAGTAATTTGGTATTAGAAACTAGAATTCAAATTTCCTACTACTGCTGAGGGCAGTGTTCTTTCTTTTACAGCACACTGATCCTCTTGTCAATTCATATTAATTTGCTTCTACAACTGAAACATGATTTCAGAATGCATATTCAGAATGAACAGTATACTGAAGTTCAGGACACACTGATGTATTCATAATAAAATTCTATGAAGCTGCATAATCATAGAAATTATATGAAGTTGAATATTCAAAATATTCTTTTATATTTTATTTCTTAAAGGCATATTAAAGTTCTTTTGCAACTACTTTCTTTTCATTTCTGCAATATAATGGCAAGAAACAAGACACCCCATGAGACTATAAGAAGTAATTGGGGAAGGTAGAGTGAAAATCAGGACCATAGATCAGGGACAGGGATGCATCTAAACATTTAATAAAAATGTTAGGAAAGTAAGATTTTCCCCATATTCTAGAAAAAGGACCCACTATAAAGGTCTAAAGTATGGGCATTCAGGATCCTGGAGTAAGATCTATAATTTTGCCCTATCATTGAGCACTCCATGTAATCTGGCATTTCATTTCTCTATGCTTTACTCCAATTTCAAAAATATTTCTTCTCCTTACCTCTGTTTTATGAATGAATATTAATCATATCTAACCTACTTCTCTCCTTTATGCGTCTCTTAAATGGTGATTATCCTCGTAGTTCCATGTTACTCCTCTCTGCCCAGATTATACTTTTTTTTCTAGGCTTTTTCTTCACTCTCATGATTCTGCGTATTATCTACATATTGTCCCAAATCTGTATCTGAAGTCCTGATAGGATATGTTCTTCAAATCTATATTGTTTTTTTTTCAAAGATTTTATTATTTATTTGAGAGAGAAAGAATGAGACAGAGAGAGAGCATGAGAGGGGGGAGGGTCAGAGGGAGAAGCCTACTCCCCGCTGAGCAGGGAGCCCGATGCGGGACTCGATCCTGGGACTCCAGGATCATGACCTGAGCCGAAGGCAGTTGCTTAACCAACTGAGCCACCCAAGGGCCCCTCCAAATCTATATTGTAAGTCTTCTTTCTGAGCATGCACATGCACACACACATGCACACACACACACACACACCCCACATAGACGGACACTCTAAATCTCCAAAATTAAACCCTCCTTCCCTTCCCCCACCCACCCAACCAGCTCATATTTCAATGAAGTGCACCTTCTTCCATCCCGTGCCAGGAAATTATACAATGTTCTTGGACTATTCTCACCCTCTCTACCTATCAACCATCCAGTTTTCTGCATTCTGTATTTCAGTTAAAGACTATCAATTATCATCTCAGCCACACCCCAAACCAGATGTTGCTGCTACCCACACTTGTTTCCCATACTTCAGTCAGGTGGGTAGAAGGGAGACAGTGAAAAACAGAAGAATAAAGAAGGAGGAAGAGAAAGAAGACAAGAGGGGAAGAGGGAAGGAAAGCAACAGTGTAAAGAGACATGCAAACCCTGAAACATTTCTTTTATACCCTGATTCTGAACTCAGGTCCCATAACATTCTATATGTTCACTGTTTTCCATTTAGAAAAAAAAATCATGTATCTTCTTGCTGTCATAGCTGTTTATTGCCTCGTTTCGGCTGGGAAACTCCTTTATTAATTGTTACTGCCTACTAAAAATAACATTACCGTATACCATTTCAAATGGTATACATCATTTAGACAAGAAATGAACTGGAATCACCCAGAGGAAATCAGTATAATCCAGTAGCATAATATTTTATAAGGCAAATTTATATTTTCTTGCCAAAAAATAAAATTTTTTCAATTGATAATTTCTTTATCACTTTTTCTCTATGGGCACCAAAAGGGACAAGGAATAAATAGATACTGATAGCAACTAGTGTTCTCTTTACCGGGTTTTCTGAGGAAGGGAAAAATGCCTTGTAGATTCCAATGTTCTAACACTGTGCTAGGTGCTTCATACATATCATCTCATTATGTCCAAAACCCCCTCTTGTGCTATTCTCTACTTTTGCTTTATAAATCATTAATCAGTTCCCCAAGATCCCATGAGTGTTAAATGATGGAGCTTGGATACGACCCAAGATAGAAAAAAAAAAAGAAACGATCACATAATTTTAATTGAATTATATTGCCAATAATTTTTATGAGGCATTTAAAAATCTCTGAGACTTCCAAACAGCAAAACATTCAAAAGTGACAGAGCAAATTCATTTTCAAGTAGACACACTGTTTTATCTTTCTTTTTTAAAGACTGAACACCTACTTATGCTAGACACTGGGAATGGGGTCAGGAAGATAGGACATATACAGTGAAGAATAAGACAGTGTCCAGATATAAAAGAATGTACAACATGAGAAAGGAGATATAAGACATTTACAAAAATGTACACACACACTGCTTCTAGTTTGGCAAAAACAGGGGGTCATATTTTCTATAAAAATATATAAGCCAACTTACAAACCATAAAAATGTTAGATGTGGAAAGAAGTAGAATATAAAGTGCTTTTAAATATATAACTGAGTCCCAAGGCTGCAAAATGTAAAGCAAATCCCAAGAATTGAATGGGAGATGGGAAGAAGTAAAGCCAACATAATAGTTTATTACTGAATAACCATCCTGAATAATATTTTAAGAACTAGTCCAGGGGGCGCCTGGGTGGCTCAGTCGTTAGGCGTCTGCCTTCGGCTCAGGTCATGATCCCAGGGTCCTGGGATCGAGTCCCACATCGGGCTCCCCGCTCAGCGGGAAGCCTGCTTCTCCCTCTCCCCCTCCCCCTGCTTGTGTTCCCTCTCTCGCTGTGTCTCTCTCTGTCAAATAAATAAATAAAATCTTTAAAAAAAAGAACTAGTCCAGGGCCACCTGGGTGGCTCAGTGGGTTAAGTGTCCAAATCTTGATATCAGCTCAGGTCTTGATCTCACGGTCATGAGTTCAAGCCCTGCATTGGGCTACATGCTGGGCATGGAGCCTACTTAAAAAAAAAAAAAAAAAAGAACAATTCCAGAATTAATGCAAAAGAAGAAGCAAGAACGGTGAGGAGAGATTGAAGTTATCCTGCAGAGGAAAACAACCCAGAGCCCCAGTCTTGAAAGTGGAACTGAGAAAGGTAATAAAAGAATTTAGAACTGGATAAGATAAGAAACTAGAACTGATGTCTTTGCACAAAGCCAGAGGAAGAATTTGCTAGGAAAAAAAAAATTCCTGGCACCTTCGTAAGGCCATGTCAGGATTCCCATAGATTATGATCATCCAAATAAGGGCTCACAGTGAAAAATTAACTGGCAATTGACAAACACGTCTCTATGAATCAGAACTAGCACAAATAATCAAATGAAAACAAGGGCACAATTGATACCCAAGGATTTCATACATTGGCATTATGTGATAATGAATATAAAAAATTTATGTATCAAATATATAAAAGATTAAATTTTTAAAATAAGCACAAGGAAGAAGAGACCAAGCATGATTTTGTAAAAGTGATCAGGAAAACGTAACCATTCAAAATGAAAACAATGTAGATGGTATAAATAGGAAAAAAGATAAAAAACAGAAGTGCATATAGAATTCAATGAATTGGAAGATATTTATGAGAAAATATACAAAACGCAACAAAGACATGTACACAAATATGAAATAAAACATAGTTTAAGAACCTGGAAGATAAATGATAGGGTCCAACACATGACTAAGTGAACCATATAGAGGAAATAAAAGAAAATGTGGGGAACAGTACTTGAAATGAAAAATTTTCAGAAATGAAAAATGTCATGAGCTCTAAGAATCAGGGTGCAGGATAAATTAAAAATATATTAAGCTGATACTTTGTAATTAAACTGAAGAATTCCAAAGAGAAGTGAAGTTCTTAAAATCAATTAGAGAGACAAAACATATCTACAAAGCCATGTTATTTAGACTGGCAGTTAACTTTTCAACAGCAACAATATAAGCAAATAAGATAGTGGCCTATGGAGCAAATGTAAGATAATGGAATAGTGTTTTCATAGTGATAAAAAAACCACAGTAAACTTAGATTTAGTGGTGACCTGAATGTTTGTTTATTCAGGTAGGGGATAAGATAATTTCAAAATGGTTAAAAACTGAGGGAGTTTGTTTTTGACAGACCCTAAGTAATGGATATATTCTAAATTTGGCACCCAACAAGAATACGTGGCAATAAAATATTCATAAAACTAATTTCAGTATATTTCAAAGACTCGGTGTTACCCGGATGACTTTCTCTGCTGGCAATGACATTCAGTGAAAAATCAGAAAATAAAAAAGAAATTTATTTTTTTTAAAAAAAGGTGAAAATTAAAAAATTATATATATATATATATATATGATACGGCATCATGAACAGATGCCCTGGGAGTGCGAACCATCTGCTTGTGGCATTTATCTGAGACTGCAGGCCCTACTCAATTTTGATCTTGTATATAGTGCTTCCACTGATGACAGAATGCTCTTGCTTGGCACACTCAAATTATATCACATTCAACTTATTTCGAGCAGCTCAGGTTGCAGGGTCATTGTCTCATGGTCAGGAATTCAGTCTTAATCTGTGCCCAATAGCTATTTCTCAAGGGAAGAATACTTATTTTGCTGGCTTTACTCCAAAATGATTGGGACCTATAATGTGATTCTCTGACAGAGTAGGACATACTCTTATCAAGCTGACTAAATGTCCACAGATCCTTGTGCTGAAGTCTTAACAGACTCAAGAACACTGCCTCGTATTAGGTACCACACAGGTTTCTGTTTTGTTTTATGCATAGCTTGCATCTGAAACTCAAACAAGCCAACCAGGTTTTCTGTATCTTTCTTCCAGAAAATAGAAACAGATGAAATACCTCCTAACTCATTTCATGAAGACAGCATTACCCTAAATACTAAAACCAGATAGACATTAAAAGACATTTCAAACCAATATCTCTCATGAACATAGCTGTAAAAATCCTCAACAAACTACTAGCAAATAAAGTCCATTGATGTATAAAAAAAAATTATATATCATGGCCAGGTGAGAATTATTCCAGGTATGTAAAACTAGTTCAACATTCAAAATCAATTAATGTAATCCATCACATCAACAGTCTGAAGAATGAAAATCATATAATCATATCAACTGATGTAGAAAAAGCACTGGGCAAAATCCAACACCCATTTATAGTAAAAGCTCTAACAAAACTAAGAACAGAGGAGAATTATCAACTTGATAAAGCATGTCTACCAAAATCTACAACTAACATCATACTTAATGGTGAGAAACAGATGTTTTCTCCCTAAGATGAGAAACAAGAAAAAGATGTCCCCTCTTGTCATTCCTGTTCAACCTCATACTGGAAGTCCTAGCTAATGCAGTAAGACAAGACAAGACAAGACAAGAAAAGAAAAGATACATTGGGAAGGAAGAAATAAAACTGTCATGTTCACAGATGATGAAATGTTCTATGTAGAAAATCTAAAAATCACACAAAAAATCCTGAAATTAAATGATCACAGGTTACAGGATACAAAGTTAATATACAAAACTAACTGTTTTCCTGTATGCCAGGAATAAACAATAAAATTTGAAATTTAAAATAAAAAACTACTTTTATTAGTACCCCAAAAATGAAATACACATAGGTATTAGTCTAAATCTAACAAGATATGTACAAGAGAAATATGAGGAAACCTATAAAATTCTGAAGAAAGAAATAAAAGAAAACCTAAATAATTAGAGAGATATCCCATGATAATGGATTGGAATACTTAATGTTAAGTTGACAGTTCTGCCCAATTTGATGTACAGATTTAACCCAATCCCCATCAAAATTCCAGTGAGTTATTTTACCCCGAGAGTGATTCTAAAATTCATATGCAAAGGCAGAGACCCAGAATAGCCAGCACAATACTAAGGAGGAAGAACTATGTCAGAAGACTGACAGTACTTCAAAAATCAGTATGAAGCTATGTAATCAAAACAGTGTGTACTGGTGAAAGAAGGTAGCTATAGATCCAAAAAGATCAATGGAACAGAATAGAGCGTCCAGAAATAGACCCACAAAAATACAGTCACCTGGTTTTTGACAAAGGGGCAAAGGCAACTGAATAAAGGATAATCTTCCCAAGAAACAGTACTGGAACCACTAAACACCTACATGCAAAAATCAATATAAACACAAAGATTTTTTTGACTTTTCACAAAAATTAACTCAAAATAGGTCATAAATCTAACTGTAAAAAGCTTAAATATAAAATTTCAAAAAAATAACACGGAGAAAATCCAGATGACTTAAGGTTTGGCAATGACTTTTTTTTTTTTTAATAATCTCTACACCCAACATGGGACTTGAACTCATGTCCCCAAGATCAAGGGTCACATGCTGTACCAACTGAGCCAACCAGATGCTTTGGGAATGATTTTTAATACCCAACATCCAAAGCACTATGCAAGGAAGAAAATATAGATATGTTTGATTTAATTAAAATTAAAAACTTATTCTCTCTGAAAGATTCTTTTAAGAGAATAAAAAGACAAGCCATAGACTGGGAGAAAATCTTTGCAAAACACATAATTGATAAAGAACTCGTATCCAAACTAAGAACTCTTAAAATTAAACAATGAAAAATTAAATAATCCAATTCAAAAATGGGCAACAGAAAAATGGATTAAAGACTTGAATGTAGGGGCGCCTAGATGGTTCAGATGGTTAAGCATCTGCCTTCAGCTCAGGTCATGATCCCAGGGTCCTGGGATCAAGCCCCACATAGGGCTTCCTACACAGTGGGGAGCATGCCTCTCCCTCTCCCTCTGCTGTTCCCCTGATGTGCTCTCTCGCTCTCTCTGTCAAATAAGTAAATAAAATCTTAAAAAAGAAAAAAAAAAAACAGAAAAGACTTGAATGTAAGACCCGAAACCAGAAAACTTCTAGAAGAAAGCATAGGGGTACAATCCTTAACATCAATCTTGGCAATGATTTTTTGGATTTGACACTAAAAGCAAAGGCAACAAAAACAAAATAAACAAAGGGACTACTTCAACTAAAAAGCTTCTAAAAAGCAAAGGGGGGGCACCTGGGTGGCTCAGTTGGTGAGGTATCTGACTCTTGATTTCAGCTCAAGTCATGATCTCAGGGTCCTGAGATGGAGCCCCACGTCAGGCTCTGCACTCAGTGTGGAGTCGGCTTGAGATTCACTCTCTCCCTCTTCCTCTCCCGCTCCCCCCACTCGCATGTGCTCTCTCTAAAGTAAACAAATAAAATCTTTAAAAAAAAAAAGCAAATAGGAGAAAATATTTGCAAAACATATATAGGGTAAGGAGTTAATATTCAAAATATGTAAAGAAACCATAAAATTGAATATCAAAACAAACAACACTCCACTTAAAAATGGGTAAAAGAGGGGGTGGAGCAAGATGGCGGAGGAGTAGGAGACCTGGATTTCATCTGGTCTCAGAAATTCAGCTGGATAGGGATCAAACCATTCTGAACACCTACGAACTCAACAGGAGACCGAAGAGAAGAATAGCAACAGCTCTCTGAACAGAGAAGCGACCACTTACTGGAAGGTGGGACGTGCGGAGAGTGAATCTGAGGCGATATTCAGGAGGATAGACGGCGGGGGAGGGGGCATCCATTGGCTGCTACTGGCAAGTGCTAGAGCTGCGGAGCACAAAATCGGAACTTTTAGAAGTCGGCTCCGCTGAGGGACCTCGCTCCAGTGGCTAAGCGGGGGGTAGAACCCTCGCGGGACAGTGTGGTCTCAGGACCCTCGGGGTCACAGAAAGACCGGGGGTGCCTGAGTGCGGCAGAGGTCCCAGGTATCAGAGCGGGTATCTAAATAAAAGAAGCAAATCTAAAGCTATACACTCTTTGATTCTGACTGTATGACATCTTGGAAAAGGCAACGTCATAGAGGTAATAAAAGATCAGTGGTTGCCAGGGGTTCCAGGGAAGGAAGGAAGGCAGGAATGAATTGATGGAGCAGAGAATTTATTTACAGGGTGCTGAAACTGTTCTATACAGTCCTGTAACAGTGGAGACGTGACATTATGGGGTAGGGGAGAGAGGGGATCTGAGAACTCTCTAGTTCCTGTGCAATATGCAATTCTCTGTAAACCTAAAACTGCTCTACAAAATAAAGTCTATGAAGACAAAAAAAACTGGCATGAGTTCAGGAACCGAACAAGTGACCATGATTTTTACTGTGTCAACAACAGTCAAACTTCTGCATCTCTACGTTTGCCTTTTCTGTTGATAGATGTTAAGCAGCACCTTCACTGGCTGCCCATCCCCTTTAGGATGCCAAGTTCAACTGACCATATATCTGTGGGTCAAGGCCCCTTGGCTGCCCCTCTGACCTTGAGAGTCGTTATGGGCACTCAATTGCAGCCTCTGGGCTCCTGGCACTTAGAACCTACCACCTGGTCTCTATCACTCCAGGATTCCCTTGGATAAGGGAACGAGCCCAGTTCTGTGACCACTTCTCCTATCAAAAGCTCCAGCCTGCAGAGAGCTGCCACTGAACGTGCTAATGTCCCTCTCAGCAGCACAGTCCTCATGGTCTTGGCAGGTGACGTGTCCTCTGGACCCTCCCATAACCCTCGAATGTGTCTCTCTCCACTTCTGTCTTCTACCAGGGAGACTCGGGCACTTCCGCTTCACTTGCCTTTGGCCATTGCGTTCTCCAGACTTGTCAGAGCCACCCTAGGTATGAGTTCAGCCTATCCCCTGGGCTACTGGCTAGGGTTTTAAATCCTGTGTTCTGAAAAAGTTCTCCCAAGTCGATGAATTACTGCTTATTCAGTCTTACATTCTGGCACCTTCAAAATCCACTTCTGGAGGGCAGGGCAGAGGGCAGCAGGGAGGCATGTGGGGTAGAGGGCACCAACAACAAGAGAGAGTGCCAAGTGCAGCTGCTGCAGCCCTGACAGGAGCCCACGAGAGCCACCCTGGTGGGCGACAGAGTGAACAAGCAGATGGTGGCCAGACCATAGAGGACACCACCATTTTTGCAGCAACCAGCCCAGGAAGCTAACCCACAACCAGTGTAGCAACTGACGGAATGGTTAGGACCAGCTTTGCTCCTTCCTTGCTTCTGCTTCCAACTCAGATCAACCAGAGAAAGTCAAGTATGTTACCCCAACCAATCACATAACAGGCATCACTTTTAGTTAGCTAGTCTGCTTCAGCTTCCACATGCCAACATCATCCAAGCAGGGCAGACCTGAAGCCCCTTCTTTCTTATTTATTTATTTACTTTTCATTATACGGCTTCCCTCCTTTTCTGTCTGCCCTTGAGTCTCTCCGCAAGTGATGGCGGCTGGCTCCCTTGCTATGGCAAGCTCTGAATAAATAGACTCTGTTCTTATCTGAGTGGTCTATGTTTATTTCCACATCAGTAAGAGGGTTAATACCCCTGACCCCCACTCCACACCCTGCCCACTCCAGGAGAAAGAATGCATCAGCTCAGGAACTTGGAGATGAAAATGCATGAGATGTGTTTAAAATCTCATCTTACTGTCTGTTATCTTAGACCACTCACAGTACATGTGTTATTTGGGTTCCCTAAGAGTAGATGCTAAAATGGAGGTCAAGAGACTGATTGGGGGACCAAGTAATAAAGGGCTGGGAGCTGGAGAAGGAGGAAGTGTCTTCCAACACCTTGCAGAAAAGGGGGAAGGGGACTGGACAGCAAGAAGTCTGGGACTATTGCACAGAGAATTTTCGAGAAACCATCTCTTAACTATTTAGATGTTACAACCAAGCTAATGAAACCACCTTAGAGAAACAGTTTGGTATTATAACAGCCATTTTTCCCCAAAACTAAACATATGATTTTTGCCTTTAAAACTCGAAAATGTTTTGTTGATGATTTTGTTCCCCTGGGAGCTGGGCATGTAGTATGATGACCACATTCCTAGCTGAAGAAGAGCCATCTGGAGACTCTGGAGTAATTGTATGATCTCTCAAACTGTGGAGTTCTATTGCTTTTCTCCACAGTGGGGTGGGTGTCTGTTATTATTGGTTTCCACCATAAAATAAATATAACTCTATAGAGAGCTAACTGTGCAGAAGTGAAGAGAGTATAAGAGAGGTCAGATTTCCAACAAATATTAGAGTTCCTCTTTTCAAAATATCTATTAGCGCACAGTTAAACGTTTTCAGCCACTTCTCACTCGGGGTGTTTCACATTTGACTTTTTCCCTCTCTGGCAGAAGAGACAACCTGCACCAACACACAACCTCTGACCTGAGTTCCTCTACCAGAAAAAACAGAAGCTGACCCGGGCAGTACCAACCCTCCCACCAGGTCCCTGGACGGGGGGGACATGCACTCCATGAGGCTAAGGGCCAAGACAAAATTATTCCACAGGTTATGTCCACCTGTGAATAAGCTGGGAAGAAAGAAGAGACATTGATTTGCTGTGAATGCGAATTTAGTCTCTAAATTTCTGTGGTTCCTCACTGCCCTCTCTCCTGACACCCCTTCCCCACCTCCCATTTCTATTACTACCCAGGGACAGGACAAGTGTACGCAACAGGTTAACAGGGTGGTTGTGTTCAGAGCTCAGAAGCTGGCCTCTTCTTTTGCCTCCTCCACTCTGTCCTTCCATACATGACTTTGTGTCACTCCACCACCTCACCTGAACTTCCACCTTCGCAATAACACCCAGTGACCTCAATCTCCTCACTTCGCCCTCAGAATGTCTTTCTGATAACCTCCTAAGCATTCTGACTGATTAATTCACCTTGAGAAAACAATGGACCTCCTAGAGAATTTGCACTATTTAATGGAGCTTAATAATAAAATAACGTATTTAAATGTGTTGAATTTCAAACGAAATTGAAAAGGGTCAGGATTTCTGGCTATTTGGGGGGAATGGTTTCCAACAAGAGGGATTACTCATACAACCGACTCATTTAATGTTGCAACATAGATTAATAAACGGCTTCACAATACCAATAATAACACAAGTGTTAATGTAGTCTTGGATACTATTAGGTGCCACTAATAGCATTATTCAAGTTACCTCCAAAGATGGGTAAGGAAGGAGTATTTATTGGAAATCCACTTTAGGACTGGAGTTATTTGATCAATACATTTCTAACTGATAGCCAAGCACTTTTCTAAGTTTTAAAGATATGATGATAAAGAAGTCAAACAAATTTCATGTTTTTGTGTGCTCATATTTTAATAGAGGAATCATCCAAAGAAAAATTAAATAGTTAACATCGAAGAAAGAACAGCGGGAAGGGGGGTGGGGGGAGAGACAAGAGGAAGAAAGAAAAGAAGGGAGGGGGAGGAAAAAAGAAGGAGGAAAAGAAGGAAATTTTCAAATACTATTAGGTTTTATAAAAAAAAAAACCAAGATGTGATAAAAAAAAAAAAAACAGATGACAAGGTGATTTTTGAGAAGGTGACATTTAATCTGAGGCTTAAAAGTGAAATAAGTCAATCAGAGAAAGATAATTATATGGTTCCACTCATATGTGGAATTTAAGAAACAAAAACAAAGGATCATAGGGGAAGGGAGAGAAAAATGAAATAAGATGAATCAGAGAGGGAGACAAACCATAAGAGACTCTTAACTATAGAAAACAAACTGAGGGTTGCTGGAGGGGAGGTGGGGGGCATGGGGTACTTGGTGATGGGCATTAAGGAGGTCATTTGATGTAATAAGCACTTGGTGTTATATGCAACTGATGAATCACTAAACTCTACCTCTGAAAATAATAATATACTATATTTTAATTAATTGAATTTAAATAAAAAAAAAGAAATAGTCACCATGGGAAGATCTGGAGGAAGTGTATTCTAAGCAAACAGAACAGCAAGTGCGAAGGCCTTGAGGCAGGAAAAATGTGAGGCCCCTAGGACACATAGAAGAGAGAATGATGTGGTGCATTTGGGACACAGGCAGCCTGGCAGTGCAGCTGAGCCCATGGATAGGGGAAAAGAAGGGCCAGCAGTGAGGCTACAGAGGTGGGAAGGAACCAAATTACATAGGGAGTTTTGCCTTTAGTGTAAAGCAAAGGAAAGCCATTGGGGTATTTTTTTTTTTTTTTCAGAAGCAGTCCATCATCTGATCTACATTCTAAAAGGTCATGTTGGCTCCAGTTTGGGGAATGGGTAGGAGAGGAACAGGAGTAGAAGCAGAGTAATCCCCTAAAAGGGTGTAGCAGGACAGAGGTGATGACAGAGGGTAGTCTATGTTGGTAATGGAGGAGGTAGATGAGAAATTCAAGAACTGAGGTGTCTCTGGAAGTGAACACCTTCTGCTGCTCTCTCTCTTTTTCTCTTGCTTTCACCCTGGTACTTTGCACATGAGGCCAAAGAATTGCTTCTTTCCCCCCTCTCTACTGGGAGCTTCAGCTGCTTATGCACAGACTTTGCTTCCTCAACTGTTCAGTTGTGGCTTGAAGATAATCCCTCTCTGGGCCACTCTGATGCCTGAGATGCCAGGAGCTTCCAGTTTTAGTTTCATCCCTTCTTTCATTTAGTCTTTATGTTGATTAATCCACATTTCAGAAATAGAGTAACCCAGCTCTTCGTTTTATGACAGCCTAGTAAGTCGTATCAGTAGCCTTCCTAGGGATGGGTTGATCTGGTCTGAGGGTGCCTCATGGTCCAATCAGGTGCCTGATCCTAGAGCCAGAAACATAGTCCGCGGGGAGCACAGGCTGAGGTCAAGGCAGAAGAGCTCAGAATGCCCCTTGATTTTCCCCTCCAAGTACACCTATCAGCGTATTTCTTCTGTATCTATTTACTTATTTAAGTTTTTAGAGAGAATTTGAGGGGCTTATGAAGCTTAGCACTGTATTTAAAAATCCAGGGCAAATACCCTTTAAAAAATAGGGATAACAAATTTGAATACTGAATTAGTTACTAAGGACATGAAGCAAAAGTAGCTTAAATTGGGCCAAAATTATAATAATTACTGTGAAACTGCTCAGAAGTCTCTACTGAGGAAAGTTCAAGTATTTTAACATTACAGATGCTTTTGCTTTGTGTAATAGGTCCTTCTAAGTCATCTGCCTGAGTAACTCCTGCTCATCCCTCAAGACTCCACTTAATCCTAACATCCTCTGAAAACCATTCCTGACTTCTGCCACCTCCTAGTTCGTTTGTGACATGACACAAAGCATGACAGCCAGCTTCCATTTCTGTTACAGACTCTGTCTTGATGATAAGTTTCACTGTCTGACCCTCTCCTCTAAATTGTGACCTCTTTAGGTCTACAAATTCATTCACCTGTTTATCCTCACTGCTAAATATGGCATTCATCACATATTAGTGCCCAATAAATATTCATCAAATGTATACATGAATGAATAAGCATTATATTATAAAAATAACTGCCTCTACTTCTTACTGGTTTTTAAAATTTTGTTTACCTGATGGGCAACATAATTATCTTTGGCAAAGCAGGAAAGAATATCCAATGGGAAAAAAGACGGTCTCTTCAACAAACGGTGTTGGGAAAACTGGACAGCAACATGCAGAAGAATGACACTGGACCACTTTCTTACACCATACACAAAAATAAATTCAAAATGGT